TGAATGTTTTGCTCTTTTTAGCTCTAGTTATGAATTAAAATGTCATTACTATTGTTTAATGTTGGCAGAGAAAATGTTAAATGTAAAAAACTTATGAGGTTTGAAAAAGAATGAGATGTTTTAGTGGACAGCTAATGTTTACAGTTAAAAAAAGGTTTTGTATGACTTAGAAAATTGAACTTTGAATTAGCTTGACGTTATTGTAGCTCATTTCTCAATTTGATTAGATCATCAGATTTGTGGTGCCAGAAACCACTTGCATTGGTTTGTAAAGATTAAGAATAAAATTTTCTCTGGTTCTATATCAGATTTCAATTGGGGGGGGGGGGGGGGGGGGTGGATTCTTTTCTTTCCATAAACGGGGGCACGACAGAAAATAATTGAGAACCACTGAGTTAGACAGAGATTGGACCAATAACTACTAAATCAGCGGTAAACATTATCAGACCATTAGCTGGACCCTCCAGGGTTAATTGATTCATAACATGATGTCTGCTGCAGCATTAAGTCCTAACTGTGCAGGAGCAGGAAGCAACGCGAGGAGCTACAGATGGTCACTAATGAGGGATTTCCACATTAGAACAATTTCCTACTCAACACCAGGCTCAGTGAACATGTTGGGAACTTTAAGATACGTTTGATTCGAGACCATCTCCATCCCACAGCGTTCCTGCGGGACTGTTCCACTGATCCTAATGGTCACAAATCTTTTTCATCTGTTTAACTGATAGTTTTTCATTGAATTTAGTTTTTAACAGTGAGGGACACTCGGGGCAATCCGCGCGATGGATTGATTGATGTGTGGATTTATATGAACAGCAGAGCCAGGTCAGAACCAGGTTTAGCTCTGTTCCAGCTCCAGGACTGAAACACAAGTACACACACACACACACACACACACACACACACACACACACGCACGCACGCGCGCACACACACACACACAGTAAAATATGAATTACTGCGGAAGATATTTTGCACAAATCATGAAACTCATGAAAAATCCTCTCAAACTTTTAACTGATAACACTAATTAATTTATATTTGATCTTGATGGTGAAACTAAAGGCGTTTAACACTGAACACCTAACATGAATGCAGCTTCTGAGAGCTAGCTAATATCAGCTAAAACTGTGTTCTGCTGCTGCTGGCTGCTGCTCACCTTCCTTCTTGAAAAACCTAGTCAATACTTGCTTCTGTTCAATTAACTTTTTCTCCTTCTCCCTCTTTTCTGAAAGCCAGATTTCCCTTTCTTGGGAAAAGACATGACTGACTCTCCTGCCTCCAGCTCTGGCTGTCGGCATCTGCGATGTCTCATTAGCTGTACATGCGGCCGTGCAGCCCCTGGCCGCTGGTGTGGACTAAACCACTTTGCACATTTTTAAGGGGTGATAGATGCCTCAGAGATTATTCAGTTATTATTTTTAAGGCGAAATTCTGTTTCTTAACCTCTTTATCCAGGTATTAAGACATTAAGTAAGTTGGGGGGAGAAAACAACAACAATAAAACATTTTTATTCAAAGCTGTCTCAGGGCCCCTCCCTGCAGTGGGCCCTGGGTAAACGGTACCCTCCCCCCCCCCCCCCCCCCCCCCCCCCCCAGTCCGACGCCCCTGGGTCTCTACCTGCTTTACAGCAATAGCTGTTAGCTAACATGAAGGCTAGCAGTTAGCTTTTTCAGTTCACCAGCCATCAGTAAAAAAAAAAAAAACAGAAGAATTTAGTTTTTTCTGTTGGCATCATGACAGTAGTAAAATGCACTACAAGACACTATAATACTGAGTTGTTGATCATTGAAAAAGTAACTTGAGATAGTTTTAGCAGTGGCGGCTGCTGAGAAAAATCTCAGAGGGGACGATACATGACGACAAAGTCTACCTTTTTTCCCCAAAGTCTACCTGTTAAATTAAATATTTATTTCCTCATATGGCTCTACAAACCTGTTATCTGAGTCAGCTTATAGCTTTTCTAAGCAATGTGATTATTTTGGCCCTTCAGCAAGTGAATACTCAAATATTACAGTAAAGTAAGCAAATCAGAAAGTATTACCTTAAGTGTAAAACAGCAACCAAATTCAAGGTAAAAAAAATGTTTCATGCTGTGATGCAATAGTCATATTTAGATAAAATGTGAAAACTAACATACAATTTATCATGAAAACAGGCCTGTGTAGTGAGTATGTCATTACATTTAATTGGAAACCATAAAATGTGAAATATCACGAAGTATATCACCTTAATGGATCTTTCAATAAATTTAACCAGAAGATCGGATCTTTTTATTGCAGGGATTGAGCAACACTTCATATCAACTTCAAGAAAAGAGAGTGAGTCAGGCTTAAAAGATTAAAGATTTATTACTAAACGAATTAAACAAGACTACCGTATTTTCACAACCATAAGGCACACCTAAAAGTCTTAAATTTTCTCAAATGTCCTATGGTGTGGTGCGCCTATTGTGTTGTTGTGAGACGTGAATGTAGTAGAAGACAAGGTGCGTGGCGAGAATGGCAAGAGGCGTGGCGTGAACGTGCGGACGTGAGCGAAGACAGACCCCGAATAGTTCAAAAGGGCAAGTATGCGCGGTATGCTGAACATTGTTCTGACAACCCTGAGAATGGCACCTGCTAAGAGACACGCCTATGAAGCACAGTTTAAACTGCAACGCAGAGAAACATGGGAATAGAGCAGCGGCGAGAGAATTCCAGCAGCCTGAGCTGGAAGACCGCCTCGAGCAATGGGTTAACAAGCAGAGGACAGCTGGGAGAAGTGTCTCTACCGTCACCGTTCGTCTGAGAGCAGTAACGCTCGCACAAGAAATGAACATTGAACATTTTCAAGGAGGTCCGTCTTGGTGCTTTCGTTTTATGAAACGCCGCCATCTTTCCATCCGGACAAGGACTACGGTTGCGCAGCAACTTCCAGTGGATTACAAAGAAAAGTTGTCCATCTTCCGCACCTCCTGCACATCCAGCCCACGCAATGAGGAAGTGCACGTGTGCTCTAAACCAGGTCTGAACCAGGACTAGACCAGTAAAGTGAAACATGCTTTTGGCTGTTTATAATTTTCACAATGTCTGGTTTGCACTGATATGTTCCGAGTCCCGAGCCCGCACAGATGTTTTACCGGTACGTTTTACCGTGCCCGCACCCGCGCCCTATAACCAATGAGCCTTTTGTATGTGTTAAATACCAAAAAGACACCCGTAACTGAAGCTGTGCCCTATAACACGGTGCGTTCTATGGTCGTGAAAATACGGTAACTTTAAAACCCTATGTGATGATGAACTAAGGTGGAGTAAGACTGAGAAAGGTTTATGTGTGTGTGAATATGTTCAGAACCAGCAGACTGAATCCTGGTTCAGTTTGAGCTTCCTGAAATTAAATACAGACAAAACAGTACTTCTTTTGGTTGGTACCAAGAACACCCTCTCAAAATTTGACAGTTTTTGCTATAACTATCCAGCACATTCTCACACCCTAAGCGTCGGAAACAAACGCTTGTTCAGCCACCCTCCACGTGAGAACCCAGAAACCAAAAGTGCCCTTTTTCATTGCTTATGTGCGAAAAGGGTTTTTTCCCTTTTGTACCTGCAGATCCCAATGCAGCGTAAAACTGACATGATTAGATACTCGCTGATGCGGCACCGAACCAACTTGTTTAACCGCACCTAAACCTTAACGTTTCACTATTTATAACTTCCCCTCTCCCTCATCCTAACCTTAACCCTCTTGCTACCTAAAACGTTACTCTCACTGTGATCAAGCATTTGCTTCCCATGCATTCTGACTCTGACAGTCAGAGTCTGACTGTCAATTTTCGTATTTGCCGCCCAAGGGGAACGTTAGAACATACCATCTGGCGAGGGGGAGGTTACACATACCCTCTACTTTTAACCTCCACCTTGGTAGTTGAAACCTCCCCCTCGCATTGGCTCTGTCCAAACCCGACCAATGACGAGGCGGCTCCCTCCGTTCGCTTCGTAGAGCCGGCTTTTAGAGCAACCAACACATCACTAACGTGTTTGCTAGCAAGATGGTTAAGGTTAGGAAAGGGGTGAGGAGAAGGTTAAATAAGAGGATAAGGTTAAGGTGAGGTACAATGATCTTGTTTGGTGCCCCTGGCTGTGGACATCCCATCGCGTCAGTTTTACGCTGCATTGGGATCTGCAGTCAAATAAGGGAAAAACCCTTTTCGCACATAAGCAATGAAAAAGGGCACTTTTGGCATCAGGGGTCTGACGTGGAGAGTGGCTGACCAAGCGTTTGTTTCCGACGCTTAGGGTGTGAGAATGTGTTGAACTATCAGATTTAAAATGCTAGTAGGTAGGTTGTTATTATTCAAAAATCTTTGATTTTCAGATCATTTCTCCATGTATCGAAACACAGCAACATTAATAAAGAAGAATGCTAGGCGAGGGAAGAGAAGAAGGTGGATTTCTGTACGTTTTGGCTTCAGAAACTTCATCTGACTGCTGGGGTTGAGAATCCAGCGTTAACAGCAGCTATCCATTGTTAAAGGGCAACAGGCGTTTTGAGTGTTTGCACAGGGTTTTTCTTTTCAGTTTTATTTAATCAGTTACAAATCAACAAATAACTATTTGAGTTGATTTAAATCAAGAACAAGAATCTTAATGTAAAAGGGTAAAAACAACAAATAATGATAATTTATCTCCTCACCCAGCTTTTATTTTGGTAGGATCTAAGTCTGCATACTTGTCTTGCCATGTCCCCCACACCTGTCCCCTATAAACCATTGTTTCCTCCATGCCTGTCCCTCGTCCGCGTGAATGTCTCCTTAAATCATTGTGTCCCGCAGAACTGTTTCCCTGCATGTGAAACAAAGTGGTCCAAAGACATCTGAGCCGTGCCGGGCCACAGGCCGGCTGATGGAGAGGATGCAGCAGATTATTGGTTGCAGGCTCAGTAAATTTCATCTGGTACCGTCCAATAGGAACACAGCAAGAGAGAGAGTGATGGGGAGAGAGAGACCTGGTTTCTCTGTCACTAATCTTGCACGCGCAATCCGCTCGCGCTATGAGAGCAATTAGATGGAGCAGCGCTCAGCGCCTCTGCAGTGACTCACAGAAACACCTCACACACGCACACACACACGCACACGCACACACTCACTGCCACACACACACACACACACACACACACGCACATTCAGACAGAAACCAGCTCGAGGACTTGGGCTTCTTCCAGAACACACACGGGTGGACGGTACCTTACTGTGGATTGTAGAACAGAACCGGACCAGGACGGGTTTGGGTTTGTTTTCATGCTGCGCTGACCCACTAGGAGTCCGGACCGGACTGGGATTTAAAACCCGCACAGCGGAGCGGCAGAACCGGGCTGAGGTGAGTCTAAGGCAGGCTGCTGAGAACAGGTTGTGTTCTGGAAAGCTGCTGGTTTTGGACCGGTTCTACCGGAACCGCTCATCAACCTGCAGACTGGCAGTTTAAAACAAGTGTTTGTGCGTGCGTGTGTGTGTGCGCGCGCATGTAAACGATGCAGCAATCTGAGTTCAGGTTCTGTTTGAGAGAACAGGATAAAGACAATGATTTATCCCAGCAGCACCGATTCAGCCGAACTCGGTACCGGAGCAACCCATACCTGGATCTGAACAGAACCTACAGAACCGGTTCCTCCTTAGAAACTCTAACAGAAAGGTTCTCCATCAGAACCAAACACAACAAGGTTCTGCGTGAGCTTGAACCGAGCCAAATAGAACCACCACAAGATGGGGGTGTGGAGGTCTGAGAAGTGGAGAGATGTTCAGATATACAGGTGTGTGTGTGTGTGTGCGTGCGTGCGCGTTCATGAACTTGTACCTAGGATGAAGGTCCTCTAACAGTCTGGAGTGATGGAGGCACAGGAGGGGTGCTGGTGGGGGACACCTGCTGAAGGCTGTAATGGACCCCTGTCCCGCTGCTGGACAGCTGTCCAGCTAGGACATCTTATAGACCACTAACCAACATCAGTATTCTGTTCTCTGTCCTCTCAGCCTGTATAGAGGTTGTATGGATTCTTCTGATCTGAGGTCACCTGACTGCATCAATAATCTGTCGTCTTGTTGAGAAGGTTTTAGTTTTACCCCCGCAGATGTTCTCATTCTACAGCGTCAGTCAAAGGTCTTGACACATCTGCCCCTTCTAAACTAACCACTGTACCTCCCACAACTAAATCCACCCCATCAGCTCAGAGAACATCACCTCTGTGTTTGCATCATGGTTCTGTTTCAAGTTTGTTCCAAACTCCATCTCTCACATGGCTGGGCCCAATCTAGATCCTAAGGTACTTTGGTGTTCCTGATGGACCCAAAGAGCCCAAACCATGAGTCCCCCACCTCCGTGCTGACAGCTGGGATCCCCTAAAATGCTGAGCAAACATCTCTTTGTCTTCTTTTAGAAAGAAGAGACACATCCAGACAAGCCATACATGACCTTTAACCTTTTCCTGCTGGGACTCAGATCATCAGTCTGAATGTTTTGCACTTGTGGATAGTTTTGTCTGTAGAGTGAAAAAGAAAAACCTCAAAATTACCTTTGACCTTTCCCAGACTGATGAGCAACAACATCTGATTCCCTAATGTTGATGTTTTTCCTCCTTGTGTTAACACACGCCTGTAAGCTCCAGAGCAGCCAACTCCTGCTTCTAGCACAGCTGATGATGATAATGAATCAGAACTTATTGGGATCAAGGACTGAACAGTAGGTTCAATACTGGAAAAACAGTAGGTTTTAGTTGCTCATGTGTTTTTAAACATTTGACGTAAAAGAATTCAAGCTGAGGTGGGTCGGTTAGGAGCCTCAACCAGCATGTTGTAGGTGACAGATGTGGTGGTAAATAACATCTGCTGTCATGGTCTGAAGCACACATTACACTTAGCATTAGTTCAGTCACTTTATCTATTATTGGTATAAATGTTGAGGGAAGACTGTGTTTTGCTTTTTGTATTCCCTAAACTGGCATATATCCAACATTTACAATGTTTTTAACCCTCCCACTGTCTTAATGGGTGACATCGCGAGGAAAGTTGACCATTGAGCAGGATCGATGGTTTATCCCTTGAGGTCCACTGCCACGTGGACCCAAGGGATAAACCCTCAACCCTGCTCAATGGTCAACTTTCCTCGCGGGGTCACACCCATTAGGACAGTGGTGGTGGGGGTGGGGGTGGGGTGGTGGCTGGTTGGGGGGTGGGGTGGGGGGGGCAGATCATGTCTAATCTAGACTAATGTCGGAACAAACATCACTTATGGGACCAAAAACAGAGAGGTTGGGGTGTGATGATGAATTTATCTGAAGTTGTTTGATAATTAATGAAGAGTGGTTGGACTATGTTTATTTAACCCTACCCTCTCTCCATTACTAGCCTATAGAATACATTATATAATAATTAACTACTTCAATATGTAACACATCCTAATCACACCACTGTAAAGCCTGATTCATGCTTCTCCATCAGCTCCGCATAGGACAGACACGCACGGATTGACGGAAGCGTTTTGCTCCCATACTTCTCCGTCTCTTGGAGAGTGTTACAAAGCAATTCTCCGACAGAACAACAGAGGGCGTAGCGCTGTTCTGTGGTATCCTGTCATGTATCCGGTCCAAGATAGTGTAACGTCCAGCAATGGTGAGTTTTAGGTACAGTTTGATCTTTCAACATCTGGTCCAACAGGAGACACAAGACGGCATGTGTTCCCTTTAAATGAGCCTGCCTTCATACCAGCTGGAGCTCACAGACTCCGCAGCTCTGACAACAGATAACGACATGTCAACAATAACTTTCTTTCTCAAGGCCTCCACATAAGGAACACTCCAGCTCGGATCAGTTGCTAAATTCAAGAATGATTTCCTAAATCAATATGAACTTCTTCCATGACTTCTAATACAGATAATCATTAAATAAACATTTGTTTATTGCTACTTATAATAATTATATTATAATGAAATGCTTCAATGATTAAAGTTTGAAATGAATGTTATGTCTACAATGACTACATTGTGGTTCCACGGGTTTATATGGCAAAGGTCATAACATTTGCACTCACACCATAAGCAGTAAGGTTACGTTAAACTCTGACACATAAATACCGTCTTTTCTGCACCATAAGGCTCAACTGATTATAGGGCGCACAGCCAATCAGCGTCCTAGCTGAAGGTTTGGTCCGCACATAAGGCTCCATAGCAGCTATAAAAATGATCCAGCAGCAATACTGGAAAAAGCACTCACATGTTTTTTCACTTGTCGTCCATAAATCCCTCAAAATCCTCGTCCTCCGTGTCTGACATGAAGAACTGACCCAACACTGAACCCAGCACGCTCGACTCCAACACGCCCAGCTCATCGCCATCAGAGTCAATGTCACTGTCGTTGCTCGGCTCTCCTGTTGTGATCCCAGCCTTGGTGAAAGCTCGAACAACAGTCTGGACAGAAACGTTGGCCCAGGCATCAGCGATCCACTCACAGACGGTGGCATAAGTCGATCGGCGCTGCCTGCTCGTCTTGGTGAACGTGTGTTCGCCATCGGTCATCCAGCGCTCCCACGCTGCTCGGACTTTCGCTTTGAAGGACCGGTTCACCCCGATGTCCAGCGGCTGGAGTTCTTTGGTTAATCCACCCGGTAGGATGGTGAGCTCCGTGTTCATCCTCTTCACCGGGATTTTAACTGTCGGTGAGATGGGCCTGCATGGATCAGCATGGCTGGAGAAGTGTGGAAGAAGCCGTCCTGTCTTTTGGTGTACACCTCCCGCAGCCACACCCCCATCATGTCCTCATCCATCCTGCCCTTCGGGTTTGCCTTGATGATCACGCCAGCGGGAAATCTTTCTTTGGGTAAAGTTTTCCGCTTGAAGATGACCATTGGCGGCAGCTTCTGGCCATCAGCCTGGCAGGTGAGCACGATGGTGAAGCAGGATTTCTCGTGGCTGGTCGTCCGCACAGACACCATGCTGGTCCCCATTTTCTCCACGGTCCGGTTCACCGGGATGTCGAAGGTAAGCGGGACCTCGTCCATATTGGTGATGTGCTGGGGCCGGATGTTTTTGTCTGCCATCTTCTTAGTGCAATAGGAGCGGAACAACTCTAGCTTCTCAGCGTCACCTTTAATTCGGCGAGGGTGGGCGGTGCTACGGGCCGGCTCTTTGTTTTCCTGCAGACGCAGGTGTGGCTGGCTTCACTTGCGTCCTTAATGCATGTATAAAAGGCGCATCCGTATTAAAAGGTGCACTGCCAGTTCAGGGGAAGATCAAAGGTTTTTACTAGCGCCTTATGGTGCGGAGAATACGGTAGTCTTTTACCCAATCAGAACATCCGGTAAAGAAGGCGTGTTTCTTAGTTGTCTAGGTAACATCTGTCAAGCCTGTCAGCCTTTGATTGGCTGTGCAAATCATAACATCAAAACCTTAAAACTGGATCACTCTGTGTGATTCGGGAGTTCTAGAGAAAGCTTCAGACCGGCCAGCTGAAGCATCCCTCTTTAACCCATCAAAGATTCTGACACGTCATCAAAACCCTTTTGCACCTGCAAAGCCAATGAACAACAGTTCCTGCAGAACAAAGCTGATATTATTAGACTCCTTAAAGAGTCCCAGACGCGCGGTTCCATCCAGCTGTTGTGACCCGAGACATCTCTGGACTGAAGAGTCGGTACCACGGTATTCTACAGCCCTCTGCTGCCAGAGGTCAGCCGGCCCCTGTGACCTTCGGATCCACCAAGAGGGTCTCCGAAAATGGGTGAAGTAGACATGACAGATTGCGTCCGATGTGCTTCTGATGACAAGAACTTCATGGTTCATGCAAACCAAATTATTTTACATCCAGAACTCAGCTTTCCTAGATAAGGAAGTTCTGACTAACACCGCATTTACACATAGTTATTCATCACAGTTAGTTCCATACAGTCACAGTAAATGCTCAGTTAACTAGACATGTTTTAACTGTTTGCAAAATAAATTCTTACTTTTAGAAACTTGACTCTTTTCTAGATCAAAACGAAGTGTGTACAATTACTTAATAAAGCAAAAATCCTAGAATCTTCTGATAAATACAATAAAGACCAAGCAGGGTGGATGTTTTATATTTAAAAAGAATATCACAGCTATATATATATATATATATATATACACACACACACACACACACACACACACACACACATATATATATATATATATATATATATATATATATATATATATGTGTGTGTGTGTGTGTGTATATATATATATATATATATATATATATATATATATACACATACATACATGTATCTTGAACCCTTAAAGCACTCAATTTGCCAACGCTACAATAGTGTTCATATTGTGTTTTTGTATATAAGAGACTTTTTAA